GATTTGCAATAGGATAAAAGACGTTTATGCACTAGCGTTCCAAAAGTGGAAGGTAGCGGTCAAGCGTGAGGGGGTCCAGCCACCTTAATCTTCCACTTGTCGGACAGTAGTTTATGTTGAAAAGGTTTTTTTATGTGTTCCGGTGTTTTTCCCCCGTACGTCGTGGCGATTAGGACAAATCCTGTGGTGCACAATATATTTCACACAGTACTAAAATGAGTAACATTTGTAGGTAGTAATACTGCAACRTGGTACTGATTGCGTGTGAGGATAGGTATCCCTTGTAATGATGTGATATTAAATTTCGATTCTTTCATTCCGTGATGTGGACTGATGTCATCCGATACCGATACTCCTTGAAAATGTACAAACTTTTCGCCTTTCCTTTCACTTTCTAACTAACACAATACATTAACGAGCACTTTCACTTTACGCAGGTCCAAAAGAGTAACATTTCAGTAGTAATACTGCAACATGGTACTGATTATATCCGATTCTTTCATTCCGTGATGTTAACTGATATCATTATCCGATACCGATTCTCCTTGAAAATGTACAAACGTTTCGCCTTTACTTTCACTTTCTAATAACTAACACAATACATTAACGAGCACTTTCGCTTTATGCAGGTCCAAAAGAGTAACATTTCAGTAGTTATACTGCAATATGGTACTGATTACGTTTGAGGATACGTATCCGGCTCTTGTATCCGATTATTTCCCGCATTACGTCATGTGGATATCATTATCCGATACTCCGTGAAAATGTACAATATTTTTACCTTCGAACCAACGGTATTTACGTTCGAACCAGCTCTGAGACAAATGATATCAAGCTGTTTTTGGCAGTTAATTAGGTTGGTCGTGCTAAACCCGAAATACCAAGAAACTATATTTGGTAGTAAATGCAAATGTCAATATATTTTACGTAGGACATGCATGGAGTTATTTCGGCCTATTTTTTCCCAAGCTAGAACCTCATGTTTCTGCGGTTTTCCATATTCTGCGAATTAGGTTGCTGCGAGCTTTACGCCGTCCATCAAAATAAAGTAGTATAGGGGATGGGGGTTCCAAAACAGTGACCACCGGAGGATTACCCGTCTAAAGTGAATTCCTCGATTCGTGCCGTTATTACCCGCATCCCGTGTCTATATTGTTAAATATGTTAGTCTATATATGGAGTGCGAAGAATGTAAGAGAACTTTTAAGAAAGAAGCGG